TGCAGCTGCCAAGCCCGGCGGTGGCGACTTCGCCCCAGCCTCCCCTGCCCTTTTCCTCTTATCCTCCCCCGCGCCGGCCCGGCCTCTGCTTCCTCCTCCCAGAGCCTCAGGTCCCGCCGAGGATCCCTCCCCGAGGCAGTCGGGGGGGCACCAGGCCCTGCGCCCCCTGGGGCTCAGCGCCGCACCTCTGCCTCAGTCAACAAGTTCAAGAGGACCTTGATTGGAGGTGCTGAGAGGCACCCCAAAACATCCCCCTCCTGGCGCACTCCAACCCCCCGTGCATGCCTCCCCTCCAGTACAACCCGCTCCCCTTCCAGTGCATGCCACTCTGCCATGCACACCAACCTCCTGCCCCCCTGCGCCCCACTGGCCTCGCTACCCACGGCTCTGCTGCCACTCACACCTCCGTGGAGCAAGGGCCAAGGCTGCCAGTTTGCTGGCGGGCCTAAGAGCTGCGAGCAGTGTTTTGTGGGCTGGGTGTTGCTGCCAGGCCCTCTCCCCACAGCAGGGAAGCGGCATGCAGTTGGCTGTGGAAATGCAGGTTGTGGCTGTCACCGTGCATATGATAAATACCATGTAAGTCCTCCCTAGTGACAGTTTTGTGTTTTTCTCATTTATAGTTTTGGGGACTAAATAAGAAATTTTATTATCTCCTTGCTATGAACCACCAGAAGATCTGAAAGAAACCCTTTTACTGCAACTTTGTCAGTGGAGGAATCCCCTGCTCCTCCCCTGAGACCCACGGCTATCTGCCAGTATGCAGAGGTCCCCAAGGTTCGGTGATGCTACCATGGAGGCTGAAGCTAATAGCATCTGTATTATTAGGCTTTGCTCATTGCCAGTAGAAGAATGAGGCTGAAAGCCCATTAGGGAGGCTGCCAAGCAGAGCACTCCCAGCACACAGGTGACAGATTCCCTTGAGGGTCCTTTTCTGACTTTGTCACAGTGTTATGACACTGTGCTTACTTCTGGAGATACACTGTCTCAGCCAGGGCTGGGAATGGAGCACAGAGTCCTAATCAACAGCTTTGAATGAAGTGAACAAAGAATGAGAGATGTATAAGCAAAACACAGATGCTAAACTTCTGTGCTAATTTGGGAGACCTATTGGTGACTCCTCCACATTCTCTGGCATTCACAGCATGTAGCCCACAGGCTAGTCATAGTGTGTGCAAACAAGGCCTGCAGGTCTCAACTGAGCATCCATATTAGCAAGAATTTCCAGAGCCCACTTTTCAAAAGTTTGTTTTTGTACAACCTGATAATCAACAAAAAGTATTTGCATGCATGTGTGTGCTTTCATAATATCCCTTGGTCTTTCAAAACGGGGAAGAGACAAGACAGAAAAGATATCATATGGCATTACCAAGGTCAGAGCAAGACTGGGACCATCACAGAGACCTCCAACAGCTCAAACTAGTAACATCTCACACAGAAATAGCAAACTGCCATTTGCTGATGTAGAAAGAGTGGGTTGTGACAGCAGTGTGGGCTCAATTTGACAGGATTTTTCCAATAAGGATATTGAAAATTCAAACTAGGAGAAAGAAAGAAATATTCAGCTTTTAATACCAAGAGTACAAAAAGTAAATCTTCTTCAAGTAATACTATAACCACAAAAATGGACCACGAGATCCAAACAGAGCCCTACTATTTGGCCTATATATGTAAGGGTTCAGCTGCCTGCCTTTCATTGCAGGAGCAGGGAATTGTTTGACAGAAGATAACGCAGTTCTTAGCAGGAGATTTGGGTTCCTGGCACTTGCTTGTGAAGAATTACCACACCAACCCTACATCCTTCTCTGCTTTTCAAGTATGCTGTTTCTCAAGCGTCATTCTGCAAACTCACTTGAGATACAACATACACTTGATCGTTTTTAAAGTTTGAAAAATCATGGGAAATAATGTTTAAATTCAAGCAAGAAGTTCTTTTAATACTTAAAGAATGCACATATACTTACAGAAGTGCAAATAAATACAGAATAGTTATTTCAAAGCTGTCTAGCCAGAACTTGCCTATTTCTCATCTGTTTCTGTATCACTGAGCACCCTGAAGTTCTGGCCCATGATAGAGACTTATAGAGATGGTAGCAACACAAATAATAACTATATATATATACATATATTATATATATATATATGTTGCAAAGCATTATTACTTCACTTCTTACAAAGATAGTAAATCAAAACCAACTGACATCAATGGAAAGTCTCCCATCGCATTAATATGAATATGAATGAAAAGTCCACAGTGATCCCAGACTCTAGCCCTATAGTACTCATGGTATCAATAAATTGTATTCTGAGGGTTTCACATTTGACAAAGATGATTGTTCCAGGAAAAGGTCAGATATGTGCGTTTAGTCTGAAAGAAAAATAAATATCTGCTGTCTTGATTCTTTATATTTGCTCTGAGTAGCAGGGAAGATGAAGTCCAAGTGATAAGCAGGAGATGATTGTGGAAATTCTTAATCAAAAAGTAAATAAATAAAAAAAGGAGAGGAGAGAAAAGAGGAGAGGAGAGAAAAGAGGAGAGGAGAGAAAAGAGGAGAGGAGAGAAAAGAGGAGAGGAGAGAAAAGAGGAGAGGAGAGGAGAGGAGAGGAGACGA